AGATCCACCAGTTCAGAACACCCACCCTTGCATCTGCACGCTGAGCCTACCAAGGACATCAGGAAGAACACAGGCTCTGTGTTTCCCCCCTCATCTCCTTTTCCCTTTATTTTCCCCTGCCTTGTTGCTGGGTAACTCTGTTTGCCCAGCATGGAAGAACTCTCTTTTCAGAAAAATTCAAAACCAAAGCCTTTCTTCTTCAAACATAAGAAACGATTAATCAGAAACTTTATTTTTTTGGTTTAGATTTTCTATGCAACTACAGCCAGTAGGAAAAACAAACAAACAAAAAAAGGAATAGGCTTAAAATGAACAGATTTGTTTGCTGCTCTTGGCTAACTTCATCTTAAAACCAAATCCAACTTTGAGGTTTCAAGGCTGTCAGAGCTGTGGTAGCACTTAAGACAAGCAGACTGAGCACTCAATGTGGTGTACAGGGGAGAGTCCTTCCCCTGACCAAGTAGGGTCCTTGCCCTGTTTTCAGACCACAGGCTGATTTTTCCCCTCAAGCACAACAGACTTCTGCTGCTCCTCCTGCAGCATTTGCAAACTCCCAGAGGTTTCTCCATGTTGAGCACCAAGTCCTCCACAAAGCCAGGGAAAGCTTCTATTTCTCTCGTCTTTCATGGCACAGAGCCTGCTCACAGGTCTTACTGCAGGCTTAAAGTCAGCTTGAAAAATGTAAGACCTCCTAGTGCTTTCTGTGAGAATAAGTCACCTCTCTGCAGGGATGGTTATGGGAGCCAGCAGTGCCTTGGCCTCGCACACTGCCTTCAGGGACCTGGGTTTTCCCCTGAGAGATTTTTCTTTTCCAAGTGCAGATCAGATTAAACTGTTATCTCCATAGAAAACGCAATGGATTTCTCTTCTGCCTGCCGCAGCCCACGTCAGAAGCAGATATTATACCACAACACAGCCTGTGAAACGTTAATCAGACACGTAACGGGAAATGCTTAGAATAATGAGCTGGAAAAAAGCTCCAAAATTCATTCCCTGTGGCAAAGGGGAAGCTGGAGGGAAGACAGTTTGCTGTGGTCCAGGAAGGTGCTGCATTTCTCAAAAAGAGAGATGTGAAGCAGTCCTAAGGCTATCTTCTGAAAATTACTTAGCACACACTAAATCAGGTAAAATGGGCATGGCAGGATTTTTCATAATGCAGTGGGTCACCACCCAGCTTTTATCTGTGTGTATAAATAAGAGCATGTAGGGAAGAGTGCATAAATAAGAGCGAAGAGTTTGTAAGTGGCAGCGACACAGCTCTGCGCCTTAACCCAGGGAAGCATCACAACATCCAGGCTGCAAGGAATTCGCAGTGGTGACTGCCCCAAGCTTTAGGGTGCATCCTCTTCCTCCTCTCCCTCTGCTCCTTCTGCCTTAAAGCTGTGCCCTGCCCAACCTGCGCTCCCACCACCAGCCAGTGCTGCCGTGCCCAGACTTCAGCGCAGCATTCATCAAAGAGCAGGCTGCTGATGGACTCAGCCTCATTGATCTCATGCAAACTCCGGTGAGAAATACATAATGCATGGGCTTGGACACAGCAAGCTCTATTGCTGCTTCTTCCCCGGGATATTTTAAAGCCTCTTTTTGGCTATATGGGACCTTGGGTAGGATCAGGCATAGCTGGATTTGTGGCTTACGCCAGCTGCGGATGTCTTCCTTGATGTTCGTAGGAGTCCTTGTATTTTCCCACCCACATGATGCCTGGGCTTCATCTTCTGCCTCCAAGGCCAAGCAGCATGAGATTTACTGCTTCTCCCTGCGGGGAGAGAAGCACCAAAGGGACGTGTGATCGACATCAATGTATATAAATCACAAAATCGTTTCATCTTCATGCTGATATTAGCAGATCCCTCGTTCCAAATTCTTCTCAGAAGTTCTCCATGGGATGACTTCTCCTATGTATGCCAAGCCTGGACTGCAACCAACTCCACCAAATAAATGACTAAAACCTGGGTGAAATGAAAGGCAGCTTATTTCTCAATATCTAATGCTTTAAATGACTGGTTTTGGTCAGTCCCTACCAGTGGGGGAAGGATGGAGGCCAGGTGAGCTGGAATTCCTTCTCCATCCACCCTGCTCTCCTGGTCTGACAGGGATTTATATCCCTCCTTCCCCTGGGATTTACTCCTTTGAGCAGCTGTGCTGGCTTTTTGCTGCGGCACAATCATGCTTGATTAGTTCCTGGAAATACAGAGCATTATTTCCATTGCAATTTATTACAGCCACTGAGACATAAACTCAGGAGGAAGGGAACAAGAGGATACTGCAGGTAAAGGTTTTCAGAAGGCAGAGGAAAAAAAGGAGGGGGGAAATCAAACCCTTGCCATCTAATAGCTTGGAAAAGCTTATTGTAAGGTAATGCTGTTGAGGAGCCATGCCAGCCTGGAGAGCCATTGTCAAGGACACTGCTGGGAGGCAGTCCTGAAGGAAAGAAATTGGATAGCAGAGTCGAAAAGAGGGGGGGCAGGACAAGCTGGGCACAGCAGTGAGTGCTGAGAAAGGGCTGACAGGAGAAGAGCTAATTGCACATGTAGTGGGTTTAGCCACTGCCTTTGCTCTCACAGGATACACTGCCATTTGCACCCCCTTGGGAGAGGTTGGGAGGAGATGTACTGCTGAATATCAAAAATCAGTCCTTCTGTTGGTATATAGGGGATTACTGCCAGGTACTATGTGCCAAGGCTGTGTCAGAAAATGAAACAAAATATGGCAAGAGTTGAAGTTTGCTGTGGCAGCTCCAAGATGCCCACCTGGGACCACGTGCCCACCCCAGAAGCAGCATCCCACCTTGGCGGCATCGTGTTTGCAGTGATAAATTGCATGGATTCCTGCTAGAGCAGCAGGAGCAGTCCTTCACTGGGAGGAGGAGGCACTTCACTGGCACTTTGTTAAATTCAAACTGAAACCAGGCTGTGGGTGGTTGCTTGAATCCTTGCCAGTGGGAAAGAAGGTGGAAAAAATAAAATTATTGCTTTAATGAATGACCTTTCTCTTTTGGGTTTAATTGTGATTTTCAATGCTGTTCTTGATCAGCCAAAAAAAGACAAAATTAAAGGAAAATTCACTTAATTAAAACATGTCTGAAAAAGAAAATGTAATGGGCAGAAATAATAACAGTGTAAATGTCGAACACAATTCATTTTGCTGAGCCAGGAGGTGAATGGTCCCTCTGCAGTCCCTGTAAAAACTCAGAAAATGGAGAGACACCCAAATGAGAACTCCAGGAACAAATTGAGCCTATTTTGGCATGCTTTGCAAGTTAGTCATGTCTATGTGAAATAGAAAAACCACTTGGGACATCATAGGAACCTTGCAGTTGTGCATTTTCAGCAGCCATAGACTGTGCCATGCTGGCCATCCCACTGGGAGCCAGAAGAGCATTTCCATGCTCCAAACCCATCTTCTCCACAGGGTCCAGCCAGGCAGGACAAGGGCTGAAGCATGTTGATTGCTTTGTGTCAACAGATTTATGCAATGAAAAACCATGGGGGGTTTGCTCAATAAAGAGCACACAAGAAGGGGGAAAAAAAAGCTATGAATTTAAAGTCATTTGTGATTGAAGCACTGAGCTCCTTCTGCCAGGTTGGATCTTCAGGCAGGTATAGCTGTGACAGGCATACTCCCTGGCTACTTCAGCAGCAGGAAAGGCCAGGGATCAGTGTCCTGCAGGAGGGTCATGTCTGTAAGCTCCTTCTAACACGTGTGATGAAGATGCCAATGGAGTAAACCCCACTCTCGGCTGGATATCAACACACATCAGTGACATACCTTCAATGTCTCAGTGGTTTGAACCATCCCTAGGTACCAAGAGCCTGGATATGAGGTTCAGCCTGCATGGAAAGGCTGTGTGCACAGAGCAAATGGGAAAAGCAGGTGGGGTGAGTGATGCCTGCCCACAATGACAGTCATGGTGCCCTCTGGCAAGGGGCATCAGAGTCAGTTGTGCCAAGCAGTAATTCCACTGGCCTGTGGCACTCTGGGGCTCAGGGTTCCTGATGGAGGCAAAATCTGTTGAGCCGTCTATCTGAACGGTGAGGGGAGCAGATGTGGCCAGCCAGAGCCTGCCAGAGCAATAGGGCTGGTGTTATAGAGTTGGTAATGGGTGATGAATTTAACGGTGTGCTCAAACCCCACAGGAGAAGCTGCTCTGCTTCAGAGAAGATGAGCCTTGACACGGGTCTCTAACCAGGCTAGGCAAAACACCACAGTGAGAAATGCAGTCCTGCTAGTGTCAGCATCTCACTGACCCTGCCAAAGGCAATGGGGCTGATAGGCCTGGAAAGCCCAGAGGATTGTGGTGCCCAGTAGAGCCCAGGTACCTTGTAGGGCTGGCAGGGAAGGCAGACAAGACCAGGCTGTGGGCAGGGTGATGACTGGCATCAGCAGGAAGCATCCACAAGTCCCTAGGATGATGCTTCCCCTGGGTTTTGAGCTTGGCAGGACAGATGGCTCTGCATCTGCAGCCAAAACTCATTTATCCTGAGAGCTGAGCTCAGGCCCTCTGTGAATAACCCAGCCTGCAGATAACATCTCATGCCCTGTGAAGGGCCAAGGCTGATTTACATGCTTCTTTATAAATTTAGTAACTTAGAGTTAACAAGAGCAAACAGGCTCAAACCATAAACACGAGCAAGTGCATGACAGGTCTCTCCTCCCTCCACAGAAGCAGAAGTATCTTGTGGCTGCAATATTGCCTGAAACGAGATTTTCTGTAGTTGAAAGGTTTTGCATTTGGGGATGCACTTGAGGATCCAGCTCAGAGCTCCATGGTGCTAACCCTCTGGCCCTCAGGGGTGGTGGCTCCAGCATGAGCAGCACCCAGAGGATGTCCGGAGAGGGCTACAGAGGTGTTCTTTGCCAAATAACACATCGGTCATGAAGTTAAGAACACACCAAATAATTCATGAGAAGAAATGAATTATTAAATAACTTCTCATTATTGCTATTCTAATTACACACCGTTAATTTCATACCTAAAACGTGCTTTAATGTTCTTGCTGAATCGTATCTTGCTGGTCACAAATTTGAGGGTTTCAACACACCTGTAGTGTTGGAAGGTAAAAGCAAATTTTGGTAAAAGCAAGTGCCTCAGGGGCAATTTAACCATTCACTTTGCAGTAAAATAAATAATATAGAAAATCCCTTTTCCCCAAACCCAATCACCCAAATTACTGTGCTTCTTTCCTCTTACTGTAAGCAACTACAATACATTTTAACTGAGGGAGCAGTTTGGAAGCCAGAGGGTCAGTGTGCAGGACATGGATCTGTTTGTAAGGAGTCAAACCTTGTCCAAAGGGTCTTGCAGTGCCCGGGTATTCCTGGGAGCAGCCACACTGCCAGTGATTCTTCATCATACCTGGGAAACTGCGTGTGCCGGGCGAGCTGCCACCTCTCCCAGCAGCTCCCTCGTAGTGGGCTGTGTGCTTTGGCAGCTTCCCCAGCATCCCCGGGGTCTCCAAGGAGTGCTGCTAATGGGCTCCACGTGGGTCCCTGTCACTGAGTGAAGAAAGGATCATTTCAGGCAAATGGCAGTTTTGCCTGAATTGTGTGAGTTTCCTTGTCCTTTTATGGCAGCCCATAAAATGGATCATCTGTCTTAAAAGACATGGGCAGGTAATCACAAGCTCAGCTGAGGTCTGCCTTGCATACTGGTGCTGGCTGGGGAGCACAGGAGGACCCAGGGGAGGCTCCACACCATCAGCTCCATCTGGACCAGATCGCTGCTGCATTTTCACTGGCAGACTGAGCTATCTGGGGACTTTTTGGAAAAAGTGCCTGGGCGGGGGGAAATGTTCCATTCTCCTTAGGAGAGCAGGAGACAGCCACAACTCTATTTTCAGCTGAAGTTTCCAAGGCACTTGTTTACCAGCACTGCCAACAAAAGCTGTTATCGCATCGGCACTGCTGACAGCTCTGTCTGCAGCTGACTTTCCAGGGGAAGCACCTCAAGAGTGCTGGAGGCAGTGCCAGGGCTTTGTGGAGGGGATACAGCAGTCGCATGCACTTGAAACCTGTTAATCAGCACTTGAGCCCAGGGACTCTGCTCTCCTTTCCCTTCCTGGGACAAAACCTGTCTCTGCTGACTGGTGCCAAGTGGTCAGTGTCCCTTCTGATGCTGGCTGCTCTGGAAGCAGTCACTGGCAGCTGGATCCTCACCAGCCATTGGCAGGGTGAGGTTTTGGGGGATGGCTAGTGCCATGATGATCCCTACTCAGCATCACCCTCTAAGCCTGTCACATCAGCTCGGTCTGAAGTGCTTTGTTTGTACCTGATCTTCTTGTCATGCCTGGGATGTGCAAGGTCTCTGGAGCAGCCCTCTCGGAGACTGTGCTGTTTTATCTGTTCTATCCAGCCCTGGTCAGGCCAGGGTCTCCATCCCTGCAGAGAGGCCACAGACACCCAGAGGAGTGAGGGTAAGCTTCTCCTGCAGACAGGGACATGCACCGAGGGGATGTGAGGCATCCCAATCACATACCTGGGACATGAAGTTTCATTCAGTTCTGTTTCAACAGCCCTTGTGGCATGATGGAGGAGGCAACTCAGGGAGCGTCCTGTGAAGTTTCCAGCCTCACGTCAGTCTCCCATCAATTTCCTGAAGTAATGAAGACATAATTAAATTTTGTGGTGGAAAGGAAGCTTCGCCAATGGCAAGAGCATATTGTAACTCCCCACTCATCAGGGGAAATGCTAGGCTCCAAATTAAATGCATTTACTGTTTCATGTACCCTCGCTTAAAATCGTTGTAATGAACCTGGGAATTAATTGTTTGCCCATTTTAAAGAAGTCCCCTCTTGCACTGTGCCGTGCTCCCCTCCTCCCAGCTCTCTGTAATTTGATATTCCAGTTAGAAAACAAATTGGCATTCATTGGAAAATCAATCTTTTCATTGTTTAACTCTCATTTCTCTGGGGAATGTGTGGGAATGGAATTACATCCTCTGATAGGAACCTTCTCTGAATGCCTAATTGTGGCTGGGGAGCAGGGAGGCTGCCCACATCCCGGGAGCTGCCAGGACCCCGCACTGACCGCATCCATGGTGCTGCCTAAGGAGGAGCACAGCCACACTGGAGAATATCAGCCAATTGCCTCAGTAATGAGCCCAGTAATAGAGTCTGTCATTTATTGGGTGGGATAAAATGGAAAGTGCTTGTTGTGGTGGGGCAGACGCCAACAAACAATGCAATGAAAAGCCTGAAGACGCACTGCCCTGTGTTTATCAAGGCTGGAGAGGGGAAGAACAAACAAAATACATCTTTTTCCATGGGCTTGAGAGGATTTCAGCTCCTGTGTTTCCTTTTTCTGACAGGCCACTGCTCCTGACCAGGGTCCTCAGGGATGGGGACTGGCAGGTCCCCAGGGTGATCTCACAGCCTGCACCAGCCATCCCCTTTGCAGAAGTACAGACCAGTACTCATTAAAGGCTTCACTTTTTCCTTACAAGTGGGTAGTAGCTAAGCACACAAGGCAGCTGGCCTGGCAATGATCCTTTTGCTTCCCATGGAGACACTTGCTGCTGGAATAAACTGCTATTTTTATGGGTAACATTGGTTGTCTTTTACACTTACTGCAGGAAAATGAATAGCCACTTTTATGCAAAAAGGTTTTACTGTGATATCAGAAAGTACTAATGAATATACAGAACCAAATTATATGGTACCCCATGAGTCAAAACTCCTGGACAGAGATTTACAGCAAAATGAGTGGCAGGCAAAGATAAAAGCCTGCAGCCAAAGCTGATCATATAATTAATACTGGGGACAATAAATTTCTGAAAAATTGAGCTGTCAGTCCCTTTCATCTGGACTCCCAGCTCCATTTCAAAGCTAAATAACTTGTAGTCCCAAGGAGTTAATGCACCAGATAAAGCACCACAGCAAAAGCAGCTTCTGCATTTGCAAGCATCAAGGTTTCCTCTGACCCACCATGTGCCTGCCAGGATTCACTGAGAGCCCCCGAAGCATCGCCCTCCGCCAGGGCACAGGCAGCAAAGGGGCTCTCTGCCCACCTACTAGAGGTGCAAATCTCTTCCAGCAGCTTTCTCTCCACCAAAAAGAAAGGTTCCATCACTTGGCCCTATGGGACAGCACTGCACTGTCTGTAAGCCTGGGGCACATTTGTCCCCTGACTCAGCTACCACTTGCTTTTCTTCTTCCCCTCCCTCTCTCCCTTCACAAATTAGCAACAAACAAGTTCCAGATTGTACTAATTAGTTGTCTGGAAGATATGCAAAGAGAAGGTGGAGACCTCATAGCAGCTTTCTGGTACCTGAAGGGGGCCTGCAAGGAAGCCAAAGAGGGACTCTTCATCAGGAACTATAGTGACAGGACAAGGAGTGATGAGTTCAAACTGAACCAGGGGACATTTAGATTAAATATACAGAAGAAATTCTTGATTGTGAGGTTAGTGAAGCACTGGCACAGGTTGCCAAGAGAAGCTGTGGTTGCCCCATCCCTGGAAGTGTTTGAGGCCGGGTGGGGCTTTGAACAACCTCATCTGTGTGGGAGGTGTCCCTCCCCGGCAAGGGTGTGGGAACTAGATGATCTTTAAGGTCCCTTCCAACCCAAACTGTTCTATGAGTCTGTCATTGTCTTTCAAGGGACTGTTTGGACCACTGCCTGGCAGCCACCCCACAGCCACCCACGGCACCCACTGGTGTCTCTGGGGGCAACCAGCCCACTGCAGTGGGTGTGCCTGTTCCTCCTAGCAGCCCTGGCAGGCCAGGAGGGAAGACTAAGGGTCCCCAAAATTGGATGTACAGGGTGTAATCATGCTGCTGGCATCCTTTTGGCCCCCCCATAGCCAGACTGCCCCTCGCCCACTTCAGCCCCACTGTGCATTTGGCACAGGGGGCACTGGCAGCAGTGCTGTGAAAGACAGCGCGTCACCCTCTGCAGCCCCGTAATCACATTCCCTCTCTCTTCTCTTATTCTCACTTAGCAACACTATATGAGCATCTTTGTCAGGCGCATATTAGAAACCATTCGTCATAAAAAATTAAGGGCTATGGAAATAAAGTGACCTCTCCAAGGGCTTCAATTACACTGTAAGGTAATTGTTTCTTCGCCAGGCCTCCATCAGGGTGTTTGGGAGTCTTCAGCAACAATTTATGTATTTATTACAGTTTAAGTATCCTTAGCCCTCAGCTCTTTCCAGTAATGAAAATATATAACACAAACCCCAGCAAATACAGACTGAGCCGTGCGTAAAATATGACGGCAATGGTCTTGGCCATCACAGCACGGAGAAAAGTGGCTGTAACCTCCAAAATCTCCACAGGCATCACAGCTGCTCCCACAACTCCACCATAGGGCACAAATAGGTGGCAGGACAAGGGGAACTGTGGCAACACGTCGGGGCTAAAACCGTCTGGTCTGGGACTGGAACCAGGGCAAGGTAGAAAGTCTGTCCCAGGAAAAAAAAAACCAAACATTATTATTATTGTTCTTGGCACAAAAGGCTGCTTGGGAGAGAAAGGTAAAGCTGAGTTTATTTTATGGAGGTTTTTTTTTTTCTGCAAAGCTTTTTTTTGTGTGCAAAGCACTTTGCAGGGAAAGAGCAGGGAAGGACTGCAGAGGCTGGTGACAGTCTCAGCTCATTCTCAGCTCATTACACACCAGGGGAGCAACCCTGGGACCAGCTAAGACCTCTCCAACTATAAAGAGCGCAGGACTGAGGTTGGAGCTCCTTCTGCCCAGGCATCTGCCACAAGCAGAGTCGAGACAGCGAGGGTTCAGTTCACCTCTTGGGGGGCTGCAGACAGGATTGATTGCAGGTGACTCCCAGCAGCCGTGCCCCGATGCTGACATGTTTCCACATGAGCTGCTGGGTCTGGCCACTGCAGCTCCCTTCCTGGGCAAGGCAGACACCATGAAAGGAGAAGAGATGCTGTAAAAAACAAGGTAATTTAGGCCCTCCCCCGCCAATCCTCAGCCTAGAAGGGAGCTAAGAACATTGGAAGGGAAAAGTCATCTGAAGGGCCCAGGCTTTCTTTACCCCTCAGCTCTGAGAAGCAGGTCTCCCTGGACTGTTCAGCGCAGCCAAAATCTGTGCTGAAGATGCAACAGAAAAAGGAACCTTGTAAGATGCCACTGGAAAAAAAGAAAGACAAAAAGCTAATTCTTTTTTTCTTGTTGGAAAGACACCGAGTCCTACACCTTGGTTGAGAAAGAGATGATTTAACAAGAAAAAGATGTCACTAAATCCCTGGGCTATAAATCATTCTTCTTACAGTCTTGAAGCAAAAACACTTAACAGCCATTCTGTGCAGTATGGGGACAGAATTGCATCAGATTGCACCTGATCAGATGCATCTGAACTAGAATAAACGGGAAAATGGGCCCAGCCACTTGTTTTATAGTTGTGGGAGAATTATATAGCACCTGGGACATATTTCCTGCTCCTGCTGTGTTACAGGCTAATGTCATGAGGACGGTGCAGTTGGCATTAGATGTGCCTGGAAGCTTCAAGGACTCTGTACTGAGGGCACCCTTGAAGAAGGGCGTTTTAATAAAAACCTTTTGATAATTCATTCAGGTGGCTTCATCAGGCAATTTGCAATTTCTGGTGGTTTTTTCTTGTTGCATATTAAAAAAAAAAATGAAAGAGGAAAAAAAAGTCTGCTGCACTAAAGCAGAAATTGGTGACAGGTCCCAGCAGCCTCCCTTCAACACAGTCTGGATGGTGATGCTGTGGAGAAACCCCTACTGGGGGGGTGTGTGACCAGGGCAAGTGTCAGGAGAGTTTCCAAAGGGTTCACATGGACATTTCCTGATATAGGAACAGTGAAGCTAGATGCAAGAGGATGCTCTATTGCTGCACTGATTTAATTGCTAAAGAAGTGGTAATTGCTTGGGAAGTACTGACTGTGGTCCGATTATAGTCAGTAGGAGCAGAGGGCAGCCCCAGACAGCAATACAGCCACTCGATGCTTCAAAAATGCTGAGTTAAATCAGGGGAAATTACCAGCAAAACTGACTGGGTGGAAAAAAAACAATAACTAAATGGCTGTAAGCAGAAAGTGAAAGAGCTCTTTAAGAGGTGTTGTAGAAACAGTGAAGGAAATACTTTAGAAATTAGCCTGACAGCTGTTAGAAATAAGAAAACAATAGCTGGGAAACAAGGAAGGGAAAGCTGTCTGAAGAAAATGCCATGAGAAGCACAGGGTACTGGAATAAGAAGCAAAGTGATAAGAAAATTTTCAACATTGGTATAGATGCCAGTGTTCCAAGGAGAATTTAAACAGAGTGAGAAAAGAGACAGTGGATCCTCCTGTGGGCAGGAAAGGCTCACAGTTTGGAAAAGGCAGGCAGGTGTGATTGAAAGAAAGAGGGCATGCATTTATACCAGCTGAAGGTGATGGATGCTCTCTCTTCTATTTTCACCAAAGAGTCATATTTAAAATTGGCTGACCTACCTAGCTGCCTCTCTGGAGCCTGCAGCACTGCCTGGGCCACTCCTGCCCTGTGGTTAGCGTCTGAACCAGACCAGAACCACCTTCCCCTACCTGGAGTGCATGAAAACAGATGGAAACTGTGGGGCTGTGGACACCATCGAGGGGTGTCCATGGATACTGTACCTGAGCCACAGTGATGCCACCCTCCTTCTGCCTCCTGCTCCCCCTGTGTTTTGCAGGGCTGATCTCCCACGTTGGTGATGAGAGGCACTGTGTGCCCACCACTGCCCAGACTGGATGGGAGTGGGTGAAAAGCAGCATGTCCAGCTGGCAGCTGAGAAGCTTATGCCAGCCTCTTAGGGCATGGTCCTGATACTGACTTGCTGGATCCAAGCTCAGCTTCTGCTTCAGGGGCACATGAAGGCAGCTTTCAGGTCCTGGGTGTAATAGGCAACATTTTGCTGGGGAAATGCCAGCTGATTCATCTGAGGAGCAGCATCCTTGCCTAGAGAGGCAGGACTTGCTGAGGATTTGCTGTTTCTGGAGCATCACTGCTCACCCACCCTTCTTCAGACAGTTTTGCTCCCCCGAGAAAAACCAGTGTTGTGATAAATGACTGCACTGCATCTCACTACCCTTTCTTTCCCACATGGAAACCTTCTGGCAGAAAGCACCACAGACACCCTCTGCCCTGATTTTCAGGTTCATCTAACCATCAAAAAGCAGATCTGCTGCCTATCCCAAGAAAGCCACCAGCACAGCTGAGCACACCCCCTCCTAACTGCTGAGCACGGTCACCTCTCAGGTTGCCTCCTCTGCCATTGGACCAGAACAACTTAATCATGTTTTACTTTTGGTTCAGATCTTTCCGTTGTGATTCCAAGGAGAGAAGCCATGATGTGGCCTTTGTTTTCCTGAACTCTGACAGTGCCACTGCAGTAAATGTGTAATTATTGAGAGCTGGGCATTAACCTTCATACGAGCCTGGTTTCACTGCTTTTCATTCCTTTGCTTTTATTGATCCTTTTTTTTTTAACTTGTTTGTACTTCCTCTTTTTAAAGACTTTTAAATTAATGGCCAGCTCAAAGGGAGCATTGCTGTTGTAATGAAAAAATATAGTGTTTTGGTGCTGTAACTTTTGTCTGTTTTCTTGGGCCCTTGTTACGTTTGTTTCCATCTGAACACCATTTCATACAAGGGTTCCAAACAATATTGTATTAGCCTTAATTTTGACCTTGCTGCAATTTCTAGCAGAAAATTGTTTCATCTCGGAAATGGCCAGATTTACTCTTCAAGCCAATGAAAATAAGTCTGCAAGGTTGAAAAGAAGATGTCAAAAGCAGGCACTAAAGATCACTTTAAATGATAACAGTTGTACTTGTAGCAAAAATAATATACAAAGCTTTCATCTAGCAATTTTCATCCTCAGACAGCAAAGTGCTTTACAACAGAGCTCACTGTCAGCAGCCCTGTTTATAACGGTGAGCAGAAATATGGCTTTTGCTTTCTTTGCTGCGTTTCTCTACCCAAAACCAGCTTGTTAATTAGACTCATCAGCTCTCCTGCTCCCCCTTGGACATGGCCATGCCTTTCTGGCTGAGCAAAGATATTCCCAGTGACTGCCCCGTGGGACCTGTGATGTCCAGCACAAGGGCCAAGGAGAGGTTTGTTCTTGCCTGATTAGCTGAATCCTCCTTTTTTTTTTTTTTTGTGTGTGTGTGTGTGGGTTTTTTGCCTTTCCATTTAATAAAGAGAGTTGGCTTTAGTCTTAGAAGGGCTAACTCAGCTTGGCTTCTGTGTGCCCTGTTCTGTGTGGCTGTTCCTGGGGGGCTGCACACCATGGCACAGTCTGAGCAAAATCCTGGCCCAGGTGAGGGCAAACCCAGGTGATGATGCAAACACACCGTGAATGTCCCCAGACTCATCAGAGCAGCTCTACACATAAAGAAGACACATCCTGCAAGAGCAAGCACCAGGACCAGCATGAACATCTGAGACTCATTTCACCCCTAGGCTGGGCATCTCTCAGCTGCCCTAATGTCAGAAGGCAAAACACTTCCTATTGAACAGGGCAGCAGCAGTCTGCTGAAGGGGCTGAAATAAAAGTCAAACCAGCAATTTTGTGCTCGCTAGGACTATGTTTTGAGGGTGCATGGGGCTGTAGGCTCTTGCTGCAGCTCTGTGTGCAACACCTCAGAGTATTTCCTCTCTGCTGGTGAATGTGGTTTGTTAAATAAACCTTTTTTGGCTCACTTCTATAGTTTTGAAGAGCCTGTTTCTTGTCTTTGTGTCCCCAGGAATGAGGACTAATTGGAATGTAAGACTTGCTGCACAGGCTGAGTTCAAGGAGCCACTGCTGTGAAGTCTCTGTTGCCCCAGGGGTGGCTGCTCTTCACCCCTGAAATGCAGGCTGTAAAACCCAGGTGCCTTTGGATGTCTGATGCCCAGGAAAGCAGAGGCAGGGCAGGCTCCTGCCTCTGCATGTGGGTGTGAGGCCCCATGGGGAACAGTGGGGACCCTCCTCACCCCATGCATTGGCTGGGCTGCTGCACAGAGAGTGTGGTACCTCTGAATCTCCAACACTGAATGCCTGCTGCCTGCCCCATGCCTGTCAGGCACTTTCTCTCTGTTTCCGAGCTGAACTGTGTGCTCATTTCAAGCGATTTTCCTCAGCACTGCTGGAAGTGGGTGGATTGTTCCCAAGCTGAGCGCTGCCCAATAGCACCCTGACACCTACCCACTGACTTTCCTCATACCTTATTACACCCATTCTGCGAAGTATCTGATGCATCAGAAATGCTATTGAAATGGCTGCAGAGGGTTTTTATTTAACCTGAGAGCTGGCCAAGAGGCAAGAGGTTGCACCTCTGGCTGGGCTCATGCTGGGCTTTGCCTCTACACCTCCTTACTGCTGTAGAAATGCTGCCACCGCAGAGTTTGCTGTCGAGTAAAGCTCAGCAAGGAAATCATTCCTGCAGGAAGTTTAATTGCAGCCATTAAGCCTTTAATCTAATCGTGGTGTGCATCTCTAAATGGCAAAGCTGTCCTGAAATACAGGCATTTAGCCACATACCTGCTCAGTGCTTCCTTAGCATTGTGTTTACAGCTATTTTTAGTGACCCAGAAGCAGGTAGCTCCACACTTATTTGGACAGAAAATTAATTTTAAAATAAATAAATAAAAGGCACACACAAAAGCAAACTTACCTCTCCTTGGAGCAGGACTCCCAGCTCACATTCCACCAACTGTGAGTCCTGTTTGCAGCTGGTTGTGTCTGTGGTTTTCTGTTGCTTATGTCCCATGGCCTGAGCCCACCTGGGACACAGAGACCCCCACACCTTGCTGGCTCTGCCCTCTCCCTGCCACTCTGCAGGGCACACAGCATGAGCAAGGGAGAGGGGAAAGCCTGTTGGTGTACAGGTCTCTCTTCTCTCATCACCACAGCACAGCACAGCCTGACTCACTTGCTCCCATTCCTGTGCTTGTGAGAGCAACCTCCCCTAGCTGCGCCACCACCCTCTGTGCAGTCCCACCCATATGCTCATGGATGGTTCCATCAACCATCAGTCCTAGAGCTCAGGATAAAAACATGTGCTCCAGACTTTAATATTAATGGGATATGTTGCATGGTGTTAAAAAAGGAGGACCAGTGTGCCTTACCTGATGGGGATGGGGAAGAAGTTGGTGGTGACCAGCATGAGCTCGTTCACCAAAAGAGGTTGCTGGTAGAACCTCTTGAGGCTCCTTGAGGTCTTCACCCACAAGGAAAAGCCCAGGAGACTCCAGCAGAGCCCTTTGAAGATGTGTGACAGGAATGAAGCTTCCACACCATAAGGGATGGCTGTCAGAGACCCACCAGATTCACAGCCCACCTTAAAACCAGGGCTGAGGACTCTCACCTGTGAAGCAAAACAAGCTTTGATTTTTTCCAGCCAAATTTAAATGAGCTGTCCTGTGAAGAAACTGATGCTTAAAAGTTATAGAAAAACATGGACAAAGTGGGATACTCCCCAAAAGGCTGCTTTAAATAGAGATTTCATTTCATCTGGATGTCTTATTTCAGTAAAATCTTATCTGCAAGTTTCAGGGCTGCCTGGGAAATCTTGCTGCCTCACCAGAGAAAAGGATATTTAAAAAGGATTTAATCTGACAGTCTTATACTGAAAGTGGATTTTTAAGACATAAGCAAAGATTCAAGAAGGAAAGGTTAGTGGGCTGTTGAAAATGCATCTGCATTTAAGCTAATAAAACTTAATCTCTAGTTAGTTATTAAGAGACTGAATGTGATGAGCCATGGTGACTTCTGGGCTCAGGTACTGATGAAGGCAGGCAGATGCTGTGGCAGTGATGGGAAAGGAGTCAGAACCCCCAATTCAGCACAGACTGCTCCCCAGCCCACTGACCCTCACACCCCACCAAACACTGCTGAGGTCCTGGGTGGGCAGAAGCACATTATGGGGTGAACAACAGCAGTCTTATGAAGGAAGTATTGGTTGGTATATTTAGACCCCATAGGCAGGAAAAATTTTGACCCAAATTTAAAGCATATTAGACACCAAAGAACCCATTTCTCCTTCCATATGGAAGGTCTCACCCTTTCCTTGATCCCACATGAGAACTCATGCATTGATTAGTATTTGGCCCACCCCACAGCCATGAAGTAATTCAAATCAATCAAACACATTGGTTCCTTGGCCATAAAGGCTTGCTCCAATTAACTTCAGCTTTAGAACAGAGCAAGTAGGATATAAATTGTTTCACAAAGCTCCCACCTATATTTCTCCCCAAATGTTGAAATGACATTTCAGCCCACTGAAAATAGGACCTTGGAAAAGACTCTCTGGATAGTTCATTTGCTGAAAAAAAGAATTGACAGCCCAATTAATCTCGAAGCCCGTGACTTTTAAACCACGGCTGTCAGTGAAGGCATTCTGGGATGAGAGCAGGAGAGGCTGGATCAATATCACAAGATGCTGCTGTCCCAGAGACATTCAGCCTCTCCCTGGTGCCTGGCACCATGCCCACTCTGCCCACCATGACCAAGGACTGTGTGACTTCCCAGGCATCCATGGGTTGCCCTGAGCTCAGACCAGATCCATGTCCCTTTGTGCACAGCTGGTGGGACAGGGACCCTTGTTCCTGATCCAAATCAGCACCAAACTTTCCCGGCACAGAGCTGAGACGAGTCATGCTGAGCTGAGCCGTGCTGTGCTGTAGAGGCACCACAGAGGCACCAGCGTTTTCAGACAAAGCTGCTGTCCCACACAGGGGACCCACAGCCCACAGCTAGCACAGAAAGAGCCCCAAAATGGAAACACTTTGCTTCCCATTTTCCTTTCCAACTAATGATCTCACTGTGCAATTGCCTCCCTCCTTCGAAATCGATGCTCTCCAGACGTTCACCTCATTTTCCCAATGGAGAAGCCAGTGTCAGCTACAAACACAAACACCTTTGGAAAACAACTCAGCATGTGCTTGTGGAAGGGCATCCACTGTCACATGGCTCAGCCCCACCAAACAAGTTCACCAGGCCTCTGGCCACAGCAGCTCCAGCTCTCCAAGGCAGGGGCTTAATCACATATCTGTGCCCCAGCACAGATTTAGGGGTACAGCTGACACCACTGTGCCTGGCACCACATCAGCTGCACTTGAGGGATGTGGGCAGAGGAAGGAGGCAATGGCTTTGCAGGCAGTTGGATGTGGCTGTGACCTTACTGGGTACAAACCACCCCTGCACCTCCCACACAAATTATAGGATTGACCTTGCAGTCCATTTAGAGCATTAATTACCTTGTTCCTTATGTTGTTGTTATCATTATTGTTATCTTCTCTACAGGTATAGAAACACCTCAGGCTATCAGGTTCTGTTCTGGCAACAGCTTAAATCCTCTCTGACTCCTGCATGGAACCCTTGCCATATAAAAGGCATCTGTCAGGTATCAATTTCCTAAATTTCCTTGGCACCATCTCTGAGTGCCAGAGGAAAAGGCATTGCTTTCATGCTCCTTTGTTCTTGCTGCTATCTCCTGATCTGCAGATTGACTACATCATGCTGTCTTCTCCAAGCCTTGATCCTGAGGCTGGATCAATGGGATTAAATTCCAGCTTTCCTTACAGCCTTTATTCCAAGAGCTGACTTGAATAACATGCTGTGATGTCCCTCAGCATCCAGTGATGCATCCCAGCAGCCACCAGTGTCCCTTGCATCTGTCCCTGGCAGCAGTTTCTAGGCTAGGAGTTGTCCCAGGAGGACAGGATGGTCCTAAACCCGATGGCACAAATGCTGCTCAGGCAGGACTGCTGTGACCCGAACCATGACAAGTGCCACTGAGAGCCTGGTAATCTCTGGGAGGTGCCCACTGTCCCCTCTTCCTGCCCACAGCCTGTTTCTAAATTCACCAGAAAACAGAATCACAGAATTGTTAGGGTTGGAAGGGAGCTCTGAAAATCATTTTGTCCAACCCCCCTGACAAGGCAGGGTCACCTAGAGCAGGTTACACAGGAACGTGTCCAGGTGATTTTTTAATGTCTCCAGAGAGAGAGATTCCACAACCTCCCTGGGCAGCTCATTCAAATGGAGCAGCTCATTCCAATGCAGACTGAAAATTCCCACCACAGCCCACACTGCAAACAAGTCAGCCCTCTGCGCTGCCCCTAATGCGCAGGAAAATTGCTTTTCAACCCTGTGCTAACAAAAAGCAGCCATGCATCACTTACCAATATTGAGTTCCTTTATAAAAACATGGTTTTGCTTCGCTCTAATTGCTCCAAATGAAGCAATTGCATTATCTCCCTCCCAGTCATTGTACCTCGCCAGCGGATGCTCTCCACCAGCTCACGAAGTTTGCCCTCAACATGGATTAGATCTGAATGCTCAGGCAGTGGAAAAGTGTCTGCCCTGCCTGTCATACCTGGCTGGGAAGGATGGATGCAAACAAGCTCTCACAGATTTCCCAGACTCCTAATGCAGGCTGGAGCCAGGGGCCAGGAACTGACCAGGCTGGGCAGAGGTTCTCTTCCAGCTTCACCAGGGAGTTAATTTAGGAAAGAGAGAGACCAGGCAGACCTTCTCTATGAAGCAGAGGTGCAGCAATGCTACTTTCCTCACTCTCAGCTCCCAATCAGGGCTTTTGGTGCTGTTCCTGTGTCCTCAGGCTCAACCTGTCTCACCTCCCATCCCAGCAGGTTCTCAGGGACCCAGGGGACACCTGGAGTCTTGCGAGCTCTGGACAGCATGGTGTCACTTCAGTGCTATGCTAGCACTTAGGGAGAAAAGCAGTATAAATGTTCTAATAGAGCTGACATGCTAAAATATGATACAAGTTAGGCCATAACTCACCTGACCTTGTATTTCACATCATTTCTAATGACATTTGTCATTAACAAGCAGCCTGTCACTTCCCTCTGCTCTCAGACCGCTACTGCAGAGCACAGGGTATCCCTCCTTCAGTCATTTACCCCTGGGAGATGCCCCCTTTCCATGGGACACATCACTGCTCTGGATTTATTCCCCTTCCTGGCATAGTTTTCTCATGCACCATTCAGCAGCCAGCTGGGGACAAAGGCAAAGGGACTGGAACCCTTCTGCTTTGGGATGGCCCTGTGCTGCAACACTGGCAGGATTGGCATTGCTGGTGCAATGATTTGGAAACCTCTGGACTCTGACTCAGGGCTGGTTGTTCTCCTGCACACCCCATGCCACAGCTCCCGTGCACACACACACACACACACGCACACACACACACACATACACATATACACACTCCTGTCTGCCTCAGGAATCTGCCCATTGCCATGGAAACGGTGGTGACATCAGGCACTGCTAATGTTATTCCAGTGACTGATTGCTTTACCAACGGTGAGCCAAATTGCTGAAACAATTTCCAGGCCCCAGAGATCTGCATTTAACATACAGGAACATGCCAAAATATATCCCTCACCTGCAGGGATTCTGAGCAGGGCTGGAAAAGGACAGCTGGGGACCTTTGCCTGGGCTTGGATGTGTGGCACAGAGGGGCTGTTTGTGCTCCAGCCAACTTTTACTTTGAATCTTAATCTTCTGGGCTTCTTAAGAGCTGGGTTTTACCTGTTTGAGCTGCCTGGGTAGTGCCTAGACTCTAGTTTAGCAGGTACTCCTGTTTTGTCATCTTTTGGTACTTGCTGCTGCTGACGGTAGTCTGGCTAGTCTTTTTTCTCTCTTGTTTTGTTTTCTCCTTACATGCCTTTTCTTCTCTGTGGCTCTTTTGAGTTGAAGGGTCCTAGGATGAGGATCCTATCATCCCAAAAAGTGCAGCTCTCCCAAGTTTCCAGCACAATGCTTTGTGCCACCCCTGTGGCCATTCCTGTCTCTGGCTACACAGTTGGAACCTGCACACATGGCAAGTGCCTACTTGTTCCTATCCTTCACGGTAACTGCTTCTTATGCTCCTACTCTGAGAACCTTTCCCAGCTTTCATACCCAGTCTTGTGTACAGAACCACTTCAGGCAGGGCAGCTGTGTCCATGCAGCTCAGAAAGGGATCAACAACAGTACACTTCAGGACTTGCACCCACAGTTGTCAGTGGCATGCTAACCCCAAAGATGAAGAAGAAAGGGCTCAATCTCAACAGCAAGACTGAAAGCTGATGTACCACTTGCCTTGCCCACTACCATAAGGACGGTTCAAGAACCCTTTCTGCCTCTGGCAGAACCAGAAAATCATAGAATGGTGGCAGGGACACCTTCCATTAGACCAGGTTGCTCAGAGCCCAATCAACCTGGCTTTGAACACTTCCAGGGATGGGGCATCCACAGCTTCTTTGGACAATCTGTGCCACTGCCTCAATACCCTCACAGTAAACAATTTCTTCTTATTATCTAATCTAACCCTGCCC